GTTTTTCTTAATTAAGCACTATTTTCTTGTCAGCTCTGAAAGCCTCAGAAATTAAATTTTGTTCAAGATACACGAGCTGATTTTTAAGACCTGCTAGTCACCAAATCCGTGAGGTACTACATGAAATTCCAGACCCAAGCTGATAACTGCCTGCAGCCAGAGTCTTCATGGTTCATTCAGTAAGTGAATCTTTACTGGGAACATGGAGCCAGGGTACACATTGTGCTTCTCAGCCGTAAGACACAACAGTATTTCACATGACAAGTAAGTCCTCTTAGCACCGCGCTCTGGGACAGGACGCTGGAGCAAAACCACAACAAGTTCTGCATCAGAAAAACAGAACCACAACCTAACTCAGCATCTGCCTCGGACCATGCTCCGGCCACTAACCCAACAGTCTCCACGATGCAGAAACAAGTGAGATGACTCAAACTGATATCTGGTGCCTGCATGTTAATCCTGTCCCTTAATAAACTGCCTTTATTAGTTTAACAACCTAAAAATAACTGGCTGCATGATACTGACCAACTCTAATCAAAACATCTGCAAGCTCATCTAGCCTGAGCTACCCTTCAGAACATGTGCCACCACTTCAAAGCCTCTGCATCAAGTCAGTAATTGTAACGCTGCATCTAAATATTTAAGCTAGGGGCTGGTAGTCGCGTGTCCCATTTACAGTCAGCATCTGTCCTCTAATTCCATTACAGTACAAAGCAAAAATGTTTCCCAAAACTCGCAAACAGGAAAAGCATCACACAGCTAGAGAAGCAGCAGCAGCAGCTTGAACTTTCTAGCTGCTGAGCGGGCCTTTTGTGCTAAGGTCTTCTTTTTTTCCCCCCTTCAAACTCCTCACATACACACACAAAAATAGGGGTGGTGCCGAAATTGTATTAATGTGAGCCTCAGGCACACAGAAAAAAAAGAAAAGAGGAAGGGGAGGGAGAGGGGGGAAGGGTTTGGTCCAAGATGAAAGTAAGAAGGAAATAAAGGAGGCAATTTAGTCTGCTGTAGCCTGAATTGCTCTCAGTACAGCCAAGGGTAGAGGCTTGGGATGAGTAGGGCCCTTTTTGGACGGGTGCGCATGACTGGGGGAGGATCTGCCAGGACAGGGCCCGGGGGCCAATTCCGAAGGCCGGGAACAGAGGCTCCCTTTGAGGCTGGGCGGGGGGTCCCGGCCCCGGCCCCAGCCCGCGCCGCCTGCTCGCTCGCAGAGGGCCCACCAGCTCTACGCCCCATCCCCATCGCCGGAGCGCTGAAAGCCACCGGTTTCTGCCAGAAAACAACAGCGATCTTATGAAGAAGGGAGTTATCAGATTAGTCAGCAAACCATGGTGCGCATAGCTCTCACTAAAGGTACAAGAGACTCCCTCTTCTGTAGCAGTTATGCTAAAAATATGCCCTGATGCACCATATAAAGGCACAAAAGTTTCTCCTTCGTGTTCTTTAATTAGAGCTTATGCCTTTAAGAAAAACATTGCGCATGCAGGAATACAGACATGCTATTATAGAGTTATAAGCTTCCTGACACGTATGCGCTGTGACAATCATGGTTTTCTTTAAATATATATCCAAAATCAGGGTAGAGGGTGACACCGACAGAAATGCCAAAATACAGCAAAGTGGGCTGCACATGTAGCACCCGTGAATGCTGGTGAGAGATTTAAGTGTCCATGAACAGAGGCTGAAACAGAATTACAGGGGGGCACATCAAAGTTCACCTACACTTCTATACGTGATGGGAGAAATCCCAAGCCACACGATATACTGTTTCTATTGCGCATTTTTCAAAAATATCATGTTTCACTTTTCCCTAATCCTACTCTGCTATAAGTACTCCCCAAATCCCAAATGTTGAATTAGCTACCATAAAAATTACAACAGTTATTATCCTTTCCCTTGGAAAAAAATGCCTCTCTCCAAGCCACTTAAATGCCCAGTGAGGTGGGGATTTGAGGCAACAACAGCCAATGTCCACTACTAGATGTGTGTTCCCGAGCAGGAAAGTGATTGCCTGCTCCACATTCAGCCCCAGGATTTGCTTTCTGACCTAACCAAAAGCCTTCCCTTGCACCTCCCTGCGCCCACACTCCTGCTACTGGGACACCCTGAGCCCCCAACACCAGATCTATAAAAATTACTCGAACTATGATAGACTCCAGCATACTTTTTCACTCTGTAACACAGAGCACGCCCACAGCGAGCTCTCAGTGGTGAGCTACCACAGGAGAGTTTTGCTGCGCGCCGCCAGGATAACCTTCAGATATCCCGCAAGCAACTCTGGTGCCAGAGAAAGCCTCCGAGACGCCCTGTCAGCACCTCTGCCACATCAGCCCTCACGCGGGCAGGTGGGCACTGGCAAATACGATCCCGCAGCATCAAAATCCTCAGGAGCACTGCCAGTTATTTCAGTAAGACAGCAGGATCTGACCTGATGATTTTTATAGATGGGATGAAATGGAAGCTCCTCTGCTGGCAATGGGAGTTGAAGCAGAACCTTATTTGTTGGCCATATCCAGAAAGTAGCGGTAGACTTGGTTTATGGTTATTTTTCTTGTAATGAGCTCTCCAGTGTGTTGTCCCTATAGTATCACGCGGTACCTACGGCATGTGTATGGTAACAAATGCTCTCTTGAGCAGCAGCTCTCTCGCACCGCAGCATCCTGGCCGCTCCAGTAATAAGATTAAGCAACAGCTTGCTAGTCAGGGAGGGGGAGCAGGCGTTGCCGCGGAGAAGAGCACACTCCCCCTCCAACTGCCAGCCCTTCCCATGCACTGCCACAGCACAGACGGGATTATCGAGCTGCCATTTGCACAGAACTGCCCAGCCGCATTCATCCACCAAAAACATGCGCATATAAGGACAGGACAGGGCTGTGCTGCCCTATTCAGTAAGGGCGACTTTTGCCACCAACTGAACTCGGAAGAAGCAATGCAGAACACTCACGTCTGCAGAGAGAATGAAGGAGAGTGCACATCGGGGGGCAGAGCGCAGCCTCCTCATACGGCTGTGCTGAGGGGCATGAGCAAGCTCCCGTTCACAGCAAGGCACCGCCACCCCGGTGCTTTTCCTGCTGGAGTGTCATGGCTCCCTGAGCTGGAGGGCACCAGTCATATGCCCAGACACTGATTTATGGTAGATCAGGAGCCCTACTTTAAAAAATGGAGTCAAAGAACAGGAAGAACATTTCAGAGAGAAGTACATAGCGAGTTATATTGAGAATATTTTTTTCGGTTGCCATCTTTGTTAGTTACTTTTTGTTCCATACAGCAGGGATATTATCAAGGCTTCCTATCTTTTGGGTTTAATCTCTGTCGAGAAATTCAGGAAGGCAGAAAAGCTAGGTATTTTAAAACAACTAAGGCACTGAGTTTAGCTATTTTTCACTAAAATGGAGAGTCAAAGAACAGGAAGAATATTTCAGAGAGAAGTAGAGAGCGAGTTATATTGATATTTTTTTCGGTTGCCATCTTTGTTAGTTACTTTTTGTTCCATACAGCAGGGATATTATCAAGGCTTCCTATCTTTTGGGTTTAATCTCTGTCGAGAAATTCAGGAAGGCAGAAAAGCTAGGTATTTTAAAACAACTAAGGCACTGAGTTTAGCTATTTTTCACTTGGTGCACGCCCCTCTAGGAACAATTTTCTGGGGGAAATTCTGTGACCCCTCATACAGGGTCTGCTAGATTGGGCAATCAGACTGTGCCTTCTGGCTTAATCTATTACTTCATTAGCATCTTCTGCATGTTTGTATTACACACATCTACACAAACACTGACACACAGAAGATGAGGTTTCCCCAAAAGCTTTAGTAACAGAGCTGCAAACTAAGTTTTGGGAGTGTTTTAGGGTTTGTTCCTACACAACAAGGAGATATCCTATTCTTAAAGAACACATTTCAGCTGTCCTTCTTGAATGGTACTCATCATCTCTAAATGTCCAGAAATGCTAGAAACATTTTCTAGGTAAAAACAGCTACTTTTTCCATGGTGGAGAGTCCATAAAACTACGTGGAGCATCAGCTATTAGGGGCTCATTGAATAATTCATCCCTCATTGCAAGCCCATAATGTCTTTTCTCGGCCTTTTGTGGGGCTGTTTTCTCTTCTTTTCTCCTTGAATTATAAAAAGGTTGCCTTCTTTTGTTCACATCAAGCTGCTGCTAGCTGAAGCTTTGTCTGTGCAAAGCCAAAGTGTGAGTTTCAATGGACTCCCCCCTCTTTGTTTTCCAAGTTCATCTCCAAGTGTAGATTGTGTATAGAAGGCCTTCTTTGTAAAAGCTGGAAAAGTTGTACAAATGTTTGACCAGCTCATTTGGTACTTTTGTCTCGGCTTCACCAGTGCCTCTGCATGTGCTGGGCAGTGCTTCCACACACAGGCCAGGCAGCACAGCCAGGCTCTCTCCTGCCCTCCGCTCTGGCCCAGCCAGGTCCAGCTGGGCTCTCGCCTGCCCTCCACTCTGGCTCAGCCAGGCACGGCAGCAGCAGGGCAGTGGCTGCCCCCGGAGCAGCCCTTTGCCTCTGCCTCGTTCAGGATGCAGCCTCCTTGCAGTCCCTGACCAACCACCAACACAAGCTTTTCTCAGCAGTTTTAAGAGGAGAAAAACCACCGCATGCAGCTCCTGCCCTGCCCACGGCCGCAGAGACTTGAGGCCCTGGCTGCAGGCTTCTGCTTGGCTTGGGCTGGCCAGTCAATGGCGGGGGCTTCGCTGCCAGCTCCAGTCCTCCCTGCTCCCTGGCCCCCATCCCTGCTATTGAAGGCCAAACCAATGTCAACCCCCATCTTTGCCCCCACCTCCACATCATTCCCACACGCCGCATGACTGTGGTCAGAGGACAGGATAGGACATGGCAGCCCCCTCATCAGGGCTAGCTCCTCACCCTACACCTCCCACAACCTCTGGGAGGAAGGAGAGGGAAGGGGAGAGCGATACCCACCAACACCCCAGGCTGGCACAGGCCAGTCCCAGCGCTCTGCGGACAGCAGGGGAAAATGGGACTTTACCTCTTTCACTGAGGATGCCGTCAATGCTGTGCTTGGCCTTCTTGTCACCTTCCTCCACCTCCTTCCTTTCCAGCTCGGCCTCCTCTTCCTCGCCTTTCCCAAACTTGCTCCGCAGGATGCGGCTGATGGAGCTCACTTCGGGGGGAGCACAGAGTTGTGACCGAGATGGTCCCCAGCAGCACCCCACGGCGGCCAGGCCGGGCTGGGGA